GTTGATCAGGTGGTCTCAAATGATCCTCCACCCTAGCCTCCCAAAGTGTGGGCTTACAGGCATTAGCCAAACACCTGGCTTCAAGTGGGAGTTTTCTTTTTTTTTTTTTTTTTTTTTTTTGGACAGAGTCTCGCTTTGTTGCCCAGGCTAGAGTGAGTGCCGTGGCGTCAGCCTAGCTCACAGCAACCTCAAACTCCTGGCTCAAGCAATCCTCCTGCCTCAGCTCCCAAGTAGCTGGGACTACAGGCATTCGCCACCATGCCGGCTAATTTTTATATATATTAGTTGGCACATTAATTTCTTTCTATTTATAGATAGAGACGGGGGGTTCACTCTTGCTCAGGCTGGTTTCGAACTCTGACCTCTAGCAATCCGCCCGCCTCGGCCTCCCAGAGTGCTAGGATTACAGGCGTGAGCCACCGCGCCCGGCCTGGGAGTTTCTTGAACTGAAGGATATGGCCAAATTTGGAACAGCTTTCAGTGCAATTTCATTTTACTCCTAAGAAAACTAAAGAGCTCGTTACCTGTCCCTTCCACATGGTAGTAATACTGAACCATACATAGTTTCAACTGTTTATTGGAACTGTAGTTCTGTAGGATGCCTTATGTTTGTGGGTTTTTTTGAGACAGAGTCTCATTCTGTTGCCCAGGCTAGAGTGTCATGGCATTAGCCTAGCTCACAGCAACCTCAAACTCCTGGGCTCAAGCAATCCTACTGCCTCAGCCTCCCGAGTAGCTGGGACTACAGGCATGTGCCACCATGCCCAGCTAACTTTTTCTATACATTTTTAGTTGGCCAATTAATTTCTTTCTATTTTTTTTTTTTTGCCCAGGTTAGAGTGCCATGGTGTCAGCCTAGCTCACAGCAACCTCAAACTCCTGGGCTCAAGCAATCTTCCTGCCTCAGCCTCCCAAGTAGTGGGGACTACAGGCACTAGCCACCGGCCGGCTAATTTTTCTATTTTTAGTCATTTGGCTAATTTTCTTTCTATTTTTAGTAAAGACGGTATGGCTGTGTGTGTGTGTGTCTCACTCATGTTCAGGCTGGTTTCAAATTCCTGACCTTGAGCGATTTCTAGCCTGGGCCTCTCAGGAGTCTAGGTTTACAGGCATGAGTAAGCAACACACAGGCTATTTGTTTTTTAAACTCACCCGGAGTTACTTCACTTTATCTTATATTTGGTGCTTCATAAACATTTACTTTTGTAGAGCATATTATTCTGATAAAAAAAAAAAAAGGACTTTGAAAAACACTTATCTAAATAAGAAATACAATGCATTTATAAATATTTAACTTGGTCACGCCTGTAATCCCAGCACTCTGGGAAGCTGAGGCACGAGGATTGCTTAAGGTCAGGATTTCGAGACCGTTGTCTCAGAAAAATTAGCCTGGGGTGGTGAGGGCCTGTAGTCCCAGCTACTCAGGAGGCTGAGGCAGGAGGATCGTTTGAGGTTGCTGTGAGCTATGATGACACCATGACACTCTATTCAGGGCAATGGAGTGAGACTCTGTCTCAAAAAAAAAAAAAAGAAAGAAAGAAAGAAAAATAATTATTTAACTTGCAATATAGTAATTAAATATATTTGAAATAGATAATGCAATTTTATTTCAGAACTATCATCTACGATTGAAGTAAGTAGTTAGAACACAAGAATTCAAGAATGCTTTTTTCCTTTTTTTTTTTTTTTTTGAGACAGAGTCTCACTTGTTGCCCAGCTAGTGAATGCCTGGCGTCAGCTAGCTCACAGCAACCTCAAACTCCTGGGCTCAAGCAATCTTGCAGCCTCAGCCTCCGAGTAGCTGGGACTACAGGCATGCACCACTATGCCTGGCTATATTTATATATATATATATATTAGTTGCCAATTAATTCTTTTCTTTTTTTTTTTTGAGACAGAGTCTCACTTTGTTGCCCAGGCTAGAGTGATGCCTGGTCAGCCTAGCTCACAGCAACCTCAAAACTCCTGGGCTCAAGCAATCCTCCTGTCTCAGCCTCACAAGTAGCTGGGACTACAGGCATGTGCCACCATGCCTGGCTAATTTTTTTTTCTATATATGTATTAGTTGGCCAATTAATTTCTTTCTATTTAGAGTAGAGACGGGGTCTTGCTCTTGCTCAGGCTGGTTTCGAATTCCTGACCTCCAGCAATCCGCCTGCCTTGGCCTCCCAGAGTGCTAGGATTACAGGCTTGAGCCACCTCGCCTGGCCTTTCCTTTCTTTTTTAAATCTACATCCTACAGCCTAGGTTATTTAAAAAGTTCAGCATCCTATTAGTAGCTACTTTTTAGCTTTGAGGTATGTGCACTAAGCCAGGGGTCCCCAGCTTTTTTGGCACCAGCGACTGTCTTCACGGAAGACAATTTTTCCACGGACCGGGGAAGGAGGGGATGGTTTTGAGATGATTCAAGTGAGTTACATTTATTGTGAACTTCATTTGTTATTATTAAATTGTAATATATAATGAAATAATTATACAACTCCCCATAAATTGGGTACCTCTGCAGTAAGCCTCAAACTTCAGTAGGTATAATAGGTTTTGGAATTATTTGTTGCACCTAACTAAGAGCGTTCTATGAACCCGGGACTGTGCAGAACCCCAAGGGAATAAAGAGGAGTCTGAGAACTTCAGGTTGCCAGTCTCATAGGAGTCACTTCAGTCAGTGATCAGCGTTCACACTAATCTCAGGCCACCAGGTCAGCTGTCCTCTAAATTGCCTGGAAAAATCTCCAGAGACCGCACCCAAGCTGGCAGCTGCGTACTTTGTTGGCTGATTCTCCCTTGGCTCCGTTCAGTCTCCCTCCTGCAAAGGAGGAGCGGGAATTCCAACCATTAGCTGCCATTATTTGCCTATCTCCAAAGTCCTTAGGTCAAATCCTGACCTAGCCAGTACTTCCAGACTTTAGGAGCGCAAGAATTACCCGGAGGGCTTGCTGAAGCCCCCCCCCCCTCCTCAAGGATCAGATTAAGGAGGTATGGGGGTGGGGCCTCATAATTTAAACTTCCAATCGGTTCTTCTAAACTGAAGCTGAGCTTTTGTAGAGCACACTGAATATATTACTAAATTAAACTGACGGGGGAAGTCCCTAGGTCCTCAGACAAACGGATCCAACCGTTCCCAGGGCAGAAAAAGTCCGCTGGAAAGACACTTGGATCTCTGCGCTGCCACGCTATTTGTGAATGGCAATTTCCCTTAGCTGCTCTGGCTCTTTAAAGTGACCCACGGGGCCAGGCGCGGTGGCTCACGCCTGTAATCCTAGCACTCTGGGAGGCCGAGGCGGGCGGATTGCTCGAGGTCAGGAGTTCGAAACCAGCCTGAGCAAGATCCATTACTCAGTAATTCAACTATTGCCTTCTGGACCAGAGGAGAATGTAAAAAGATAAAATTATCTTGTCAGATCAGGAGGGAGGGGGAAAAAGAGGAGGGGAGGAAAACAAAGGTCATCTGGGTAACAGGAAGTAGAGGGAGACATTTGCTTTTAAAAGAGAAATCAAGCTAGAAAATTCTTAGATTAAAAGAAGTAAATTGGCCCTGGGTGCTCTGTCTGGCGGGCCAGCCGGCCACTGCAGGGTCATCTAAAAAA